AGAAAAGACCATTTTAAGTTTAAATGTTAAAGAATTTTTTCTTTGCACCTCTTAATAACTCTGGAATTAGAAACTGAATTGTATTATTGATATTATAATATTGTTGTTGTTGTTGTTGTTTTATTATTATTATTATTGAGTTTACAGGGTATGGTGGTTTTGCTGTTGCTGTTGTAGAAAAAAATATTTCTGTCATATTTTAAAAAGAATTCTATTCAAATCCTGTTCTGAATGAATTCATTTTTTGAATGATTGATAAGTATAATTCGGAGGATGAGGAAATCAGTATAAGCCTGTTTTACCAGTGTTGTGATCATTATTTTTAAGGCACTCTACGGTTTTTAAATAAACACTGTAATAATAATAGTATGAATAGTTTTTAGTCAGATAACAGAAAAAAGTTATATTATTTTATTTTAATTTTAGTTAAAGGTTTAGTGCTTTTCTCTTTTTTTATTAGTTTTATATTTATATACAGATATGTATATATACCTTAGCTCAATGTGAATACATACATACATATACATACATCCTGTACAGACATATTTTATTTGATTGCAGTTAGCGCTTATTTTATTTCATTTTTATTTTATATATTTTTTTATGGTTTTATTTGTAGGCTGTAATAGCCCTGAGTGTTTCTGGTGAGTGTTTGCTGTCAGTGTTGGGCTTCATTCTCAGGACCTCAGCTATGCTCTTGACTCACAGTATCAAATCAGTCTATTCCCAAGGTGCCCACATGCTTTTTGGGGTGTTTTTACCATAATAGGGCATGAGGAGATGTAGATGCACTTCCTGTGGGAGGATCTTTTTTCCTTTCAGTGGTAGAACTACATTCTCTTTCTCTCACACACACTCTCTATCCACTGTGTTTCTATAATTTGTCCTTCTTGCAGTTTCTCAGATGTGTTTATTTAAATCAAGAAAACCTTGAGGAGGTGTCCATGCATAGCATGCAACAATAACAGCACGCAAAAAAAATGCTTTTTCCAAGCTGCATGGAAGAAATTAAAGATTAAACATTAAAAGTTAAAGTTTAAAGTCACCCCTCTCTATATATACAAAACCAATAGAGTAAGATGTTTTAATGTTTTTGAAAGACATCTCTTCTGCTCACCAAGGCTGCATTTATTTGATTAAAAATACAGTAAAAACAGCAATATTGTGAAATATTTTTACAACTTAAAATAGCTGTTTTCTATGTGAATATATTGTAAAATGTAATTTATTGCTGTGATGCGCAGCCTCCAGTCTTCAGTGTCACATGATCTTCAGAAATCATTCTAATATGCTGATTTGCTGCTCAAGAAACATTTCTGATTATTACCAATGTTGAAAACAGTTCATATGTTTGTGGAAACTGTGATACATTTTATTTTTCAGGATTCTTTGATGAACAGAAAGTTCAGAAGAACAGCATTTATTTGAAATAGAAATCATTTGTAACATTATAAACGTCTTTACTGTCACTTTTGATCATTTTAATGCATCATTGCAGAATAAAAGTATTAATTTCTTTAAAAAAAAAATCTTTCTCCGTTCAAACTTTTAAACAGTAGTATATATATATATTATTTAAGCTACTGAACCTCTAAGCAATAAAATGTTTCATCATGAGACTCTTGTACTGGAGCAGATCTGTCACTCATTGCTGCTGGATTACCACAGTTGTGTTTTGTGTTGCACAAGGCTTTTAAACATGTTATCATTTAATTAGTGACTGTATTTTAAGACCCAGCAGCTGTTAAGTTTCCCCAGGCTGGAGAAAGACCATAATCATAACTCTCACCTGTCTGAGCTGAGACCCTCCAGACCATCCAGACCATTGCCATCATCTGCCCCATGATCATTGGTAAATATCCTCTCCTGTTTAATGTCAGATATGTCATTCTCAAAACTGAAGAGTGATGCAGATTTGATGCATTTAAGGAATAATGTACAGCCAGTCATTATTTCAAAATAAACCCTGGTTTTGAAAATAGGGTGATCAGGATGAGTGTCTCGTATCATCCTGAAAGTATTTATTTTGTCATAATGACTGACTCATTAGACATGATCATGCTAATTATATAGCAAATTACCATTTAAATAAATCAATAAATAGACATGGAATATTGATCTGAGCTGATTATGTGAGAATAAAGAGAGTATAGAGAGATACTAAAGACATTAAGCACAGCTACTAAATCATCAGTTGCTTGGGACAATTCATATTAATTATATTATTCAGAATAAATATCTATAACGTATTCGTTGTATATCAGTCCTGTGTGAATAATGGGATCATTCCTCATGAACACAGCAGCAAACAATTCAGATTTGCGCAAGCATTCTCATCTCAGACTTTTCCTTGGCTCAGAATTCAGCTTTTTCCATTTTGTCCTTTTTTTCCACTTCCTCTCAAGCAGCCAGACTAACCCTGCTATTAACACTGAATCAAACACATGACTGTAGATCAAACTGCATGAGAACATCCAGGAAACTCCACTGGTTGTGAAGATGACAATTATTTTTTTTATTTATTTCTTTATTTTTTTTATTTAATAATATGTAAAATTAATTTATATCTAATTACATTTAAAATGATATATTTTTATGATATTAAATTAAAGTCTAAAATTTTACATGAGATTTTTGTCCAAAATTTGTATGTTTTGTTTTTAAACGAACATTTAATAATACATTATATATATAATATATAAATTACATCCCCTTGTCACTGCAAAAAAAAATATATATACAATACGGTATATAATAATATATATATAATAATACGGTAAAGAAACGGCAGCTGTGGTTGCCGGAATTTTACCATAAAAAATACGATAGCAATGTTTTAGGTTTTACGGTTTTAACTTAAATTTACAGTTAAATACGGTAATTTTATGAACTGATATAATGT